AAGGAAGGAAGGAAGGAAGGAAGGAAGGAAGGAAGGAAGGAAGGAAGGAAGGAAGGAAGGAAGGAAGGAAGGAATTTGACTCACTTTTCTCTGTCTTTAGTTCCTGAAGGTCGAAGCCGTGTGAATCCTATTAAAGCAACAGAACAGATTCTGGTTTTTCAGTCTGCAGGAAATAAAAACTACTCAACAAAGGAAGTTGCTGTCTATGATTTAGCACAGTTCACCTTCATGTGTTTATAAATCTGCTCCATGGTTTCTGACTGATGATCACAGAAGAGACAAACAGCAGAGACAGGATGGGCTCTCCAGTCCGACCAGTCACTGTGGATGGCACATAGAAGTCAGTCAGAGGGAGTGGACACATTTCACAAAGAACTGCTCTGAAGGACGGGAATAAATCAACCTGCAGCTGACAGGTTGAGAACACTTACTCATCCTCACCGTCCACCAGCTCCCGGTCATCTTCACTCTGCACCTCCTCCCAAGTTTTTCCCAGTTCCTTTCAGGAGAACACAGCAATGAGAAAAAGTTTCCTCCAATGCTCTCTACTGTTTATTAGGAGCTGAATTCAAGACAAGATGGCAGGGAGAGGAGGGAAGAAGAGAAAACATTTGGCTTTGACCAAACCTTAACGTTTATACTGGGGACCCAATTTAAAGTTTCTTTGAACAAATACGTTTTAATTTCCTTAAAAATGTAACAGGCCATTAAATGTTGGCTTGATTATTCTTTCCACTGAATGTTATTTTATTTACCAGGTAGTTGATGACATAGAAGCGGTCGTATTCGTGGTTGTTGGCATTGATGCGACGGTGAGCTTTTTTCCTCATGTGATCCTTCAGTGTCGTTTTATCTCTGAATATTTTTTCACAGTACAAACACTGCAGGCTGGCAGGAGAGAAACCAGATCATCTTAGCAACAAAAAAACGTTTCAGGCAACACAGAGAAGGAAGTATTTTTTGAAAGCAGTCGAAGTTAACTGATCTAAAATGTGACACAGATGTAACAGCAGTAAGGTTTCACATGTATAAACACTGGGAAAATCTCTTTATCATTGCAGGAACGCAAAACTAAAAACTGATTCTTAAATCTTTGTAGTAGAATATTGATCTTGTAACATCGCAATTAATTTGTGGTCATAAGTTTGAGAACAGAGAAGCAGTCACAAAGGCAGGCAGGGGGATTATATGTCTTTTAAAACTGCTAAGGATAATGAGGTAGAGCGTACAGATTGTCACATTTCAGTGTAGCTGTGACAGTTTAACATCGTTTAATCTGTGCCACAACGTGGAGCTAATGTTCTACCTGGCAGAGATATGCTGGTGACGATTCTCAGTCATCCAGGTCATAGTCGTTCCAAAAAAGTAAAAAAAAAAAAACAGTTTCCAAGTTTGAAGACGTTTCGCTTCCCATCCAGGACGCTTTTTTCAACTCTAAATGTCCGAATTAGTTAGTCATCTGGCTAACAAAAAAGCCAAACGACCCGTTCTTCAGGTGCAATTTGCATATTTTCTAAACCAAAACAAAGCTTCGTTTTGGTCCACTCTAAAAAGCCTCGAACTCAATGCTGACATTTTGAATTGAAAAACATTCTGAATAGGAAGCAAATTGCTTCAAACTTGGAAAATAATTCCATTGGATTGTTCAGAAATGTTTTTTTTTTACTAAAATAGTAGCTGAATTTTTCTCTCTAACTCTATGCTGGTTTGACATTGAAATTAAGCAATTAAATTCAAACTTCTTACGTTGTTCTTGGGGGAAATGATGTCAACTGTGAGAGAGACTGTCAGCTGTGATCAGGCTGAGTTAGATGGGTTTACTTTCTCTGTTCTGCCTTTTTTTTTTAAAACAGGACAAGGAAATCTGGAATCAATGGGAGGATGATGGCGTCCCTAGAGCCGTGGCATATCATGTGTTTACATCGGCTGCCGCCATGTTGTTTTCAGTTATCATGTGTTTCTGCTGTTTTTCCAGAGGACCCAGAGCTACCAGGGTGCTGGTTCTTACCTGTCCAGTTTGTGTTGCAGTGTGTCCAGGAACTCATTGCAGTACACGATGTTGTCTGGCAGCCCGATGCTGAACGAGTGATCCCTGGCCATGTGGTTCAGCAGCGACGCCCTGGAAACAGGATTCATCCTCTGTGATACTGTCTAGATCACAGGTGTCAAACTAGTTCCAGAAAGAGCCTTTCTGGCCGTATCCAGAAAGGTGAGTCTAGTCTTAACCTGATGACTTGATGGGATGAATGGAGTCTGGTGAGCTACTGCTTGGGTGGAAAGAAAAACAGCAGCCACACGGCCCTTTCTGGAACAACTTTAACACCCCTGGTCTAGATGAATAAGATCTAAGCTGTGATTTCAGGCCTCGGATGTTCTGACCTGTTTCCAGTGAACTCCTCGCTGCAGAATAAGCAGAGGCGGTGGAAGTGGCAGTCGTCTCGCTCTTTCTGCTGTTGCTCCAGCACCTCCTCCTGTCATAAACCGGAGCTCATTTTAAAGAGACACTGAGACACAAAAACTGAGATGGAATTTCCCAACTAAAAAACATATTTCTGTGAAAACTGAAAAAAGAAAACATCAGATGATTGAAGGGTAGAGGTAAAACGCAATGATTTAAAACAGATTAACTGTTTGCACATTTTACAAGGAGTCCTTATTAATGAGCATCCTCTCCTTCAGTCAGAGGCTTCGTGCAACTGCTGTTAGACAGACCTCTACAGGGGATCCTTCCTGCCCATCAGGAAGGCACATAATGGAGGACTGCATCTTGTAGATGGTCAGCAAAGGCCTAAAGCCAAGAAGCTTTGGTGTCTATTAAACAGCCTGTGGGAGTGACTGGATAACCTGACAACAGCCAGATGCATGTCTCGCTCCGCCTACTGTAGCTCCACTCACATACATCTGGGAACCCGCCATAGGAATTGCCTTTACTGAAGGCTGGGCCTTATCAAAACTCCTTGCATATGATTGGATAAGCCACTTGTCTGTCATCTTTATCGACGTGCTATTTCAACCACTCACACTGAAGCTAACCCGTGACGCTGTGAGAGGAGGAGCCATTTGGTAGATCAAGCTCTTGCCAAATCCGGTCGGGAGAAGGGCGAAAACATCGTTTCCACCAACAAAAGCCTTCAAAGCCGTTCTCTGATGTTCTTTTAATGAAACAATATCAGATAGATTGGACAACACAGAAGAAATAGCAGCATCAATGCTAACGCTTGCTTCCTCAATGCGAGCCGCCATTGTTGTTGGAATCTCACGGTCGCTTCTCCACTCAAGGACACACCCGCCCTGCGTCCTGATTGGACAGACCATAAATTCGGTTGGGGAAATCACTTTCAATGAGCGGGTTCCCAGATGTATGTGAGTGGAGCTGGGCGGAGCGAGACATGCATCTGGCTGTTGTCAGGTTAGTGACTGGATTGACCAGACCTTAAACTGCAAACTACCAGCTTAGCTGCTCACAGGAAGCCATAGGCGCCGTTTAGCAGAGCTAAATAATCCAGGTCCAAAAAGGAAAAAACCTGCACAGAGATCAGTTCCAACCATTTATATTTCCATCTCCACAGTGCAGACTAGGGGTCATTCACCTGGGAAAGTGAACAGGATGAAGGAAAACTAGGGTTTGTACCCTCTAGACCAGGATTATCCACCTCTGCTGTTTACCAGAACTACATTTCCACTTTAAGAAAGTGTCAGATTTACTGTCCTCACCAGCCGTTGTTGTTGGAGTTTCTCTCGTAGTACTCGGTCTTCCGGGAGGACGTCACACAGCAGGAAGTAGTCCTCCTGTTTGTCTGCAGGTGAATAACTACTCATTAGTAGAGAAGCTGTGTCAGGGAGCCCTGTGGCTCCTGTAAATGCTGGGGACTGGGCTACTCTGTAGGAATCACAGCTACTGCTCTCCGTCAGACTCACCAACTGGGCCTGTAGAGTTGGTCTTTATCACGCTGCAGAAATCAGTGACTGGCTGTTCCAGAAAGCGGCCCTTCCAGTAAACCAGGTACCTGATGGAACAAATGCGGTACCAGCACCGTTAATGGCCGCCACCAGCCAAACTATCAAATGTTAGCAGCCGCCATCAATAAGACCAACCTTGGGAGGTTGGCAATCAGCCTGACATCAGCAATGACCAGCTTGTGGTCCAGCAGCAGGTGTCTGAAGAGGACGTCTTTCTGCAGCAGAGGGACAGAGTCTGAGCAGAAGAGGCAAACCAGCAGCTCGTCACTGGGATGCTGCAGCAGACTGGGAGAACTGGTACCTCCAGCTGCCAGTTCTGGAAAACTCAGAGGCTCCAGGATGCTGTCTCCACCTGCAGGAAACATGAATTAGCTGATCAATAAGAACAATTCATGTCACTCCAGAGACAGGAAATGGGTGGAGGACAGGAGGGTTCAGTTTGACCCGCCGCCTCAGAGGTTCTGCTGCCCCCTCCTCCTACAAACGCTGGTTCTGGTGGAGACGTCACAAAACATTTGAACCAAACTCTGATCAACAACAATCAATAACTTTCATTTCCTGCAACCCGAAGACAGAAAATAATAAAAACCATTAAACTCAAAGAACAAATCCCTGCATCACCTTCAGTTGGTTCAGAATTCAGCAGCTGGTTTAATCACAAAAACCTTCTCACTTCAGCAGCAGCTGTCAAGAGGCCCTTCCCTGTTGGAAAAAAGCCTCTTCTAACCTGTACTGGATGCAGGGTCCAAGTCTGAATTTATTGGTTAGTATTTCATAAATAAAGTTTTTAGCACTTGTAGCAGTACTAGGTATCGCCAAGAACTAAATAATCAGAAATCTTGTATTGGGACATCCCTAATTATTATGTGTAACCCTCTTTATAGTTGCCCTTTAACCAAGTTATCCTGCCACCAACCTGGTTAGTTTGGCTGTTAGATCCTAAATCAGGGGTCTTCAAAGTTTTCCAGGCCAAGGACCCCCAAACTAATGGTGAGATGGAGCAGGGACCCCCTAATTATATATATTGTATGAAGTTGTGTTATATCAAACTGGTCCTATAGTCACTCTATTACAGATGGAGTAATGTAATGAAAGTAATTTCTCTCTTGGATTATTGAAGTATTTCTGATTCTGATTCCTGATTAATGGAACAGGTGTTGTGAATGAAACGGTGCCCAGCTTGAAAGAGCTGTTGTGTGTCGCTGAATGTGTGCATTGATGACTGAAAGACATTTTCTGCCTCCATTTATCTGTTTACTTCAGTGTGTTGAATTCATGTGGATTTAAAAACATTTCAATTAGTGGGAAAAAAAATGCAGGGGGGGAATATATAAAAAAAAAAATCCAATCAACCAAAACTTTCGTGGCCCCCATGCAGTACCTCTAGGGACCCCCTAGGGGTCGCGGACCCCCTGTTGAAAACCTCCGGCCTAAATCATTGCTCTGCCTACATCTCCCAGAATGCTGTGCGGTTGGAGATAAGACTTCCATAGGAAATCTGAAATATTGTACTGGTTCATTGGCCAGTTCAACTGAGACGTTCAGGCAAAATAGTACAGGTTATCTTTACTTAAACATTCACTTTTATTCTAACTAACTAGTTTTAATTCGCCGCAATAGTTTAATAAAATATAGAAAAGTATAGAACATTGCAGTTCTGTCTCCAAATGGAGAGGTGCGCTGAGGGTTCCTCTCAGACTCACTGCTGTGCTTCTGTTTACCAGGACACAGGAACCATCGTTAGAACAGAGTTCGGCTCATGTTTCCATCCAGACCACCAGAACATGTGAATTCCCAACAAGCCAACTATCTACAGCCACAGTAAAGGGCTCCAGTTAAACGGGGTTCAGTTCTACGTACCACCGAGCTCGTTTCCCTCAGTCGCTGTCATCACAGAGATTATTACGGTGTCTAAAGGCTGAAAATGACGGTTTAAAAAAAAATTAACAACCTCTTCTTCTTCTTCTTCTTCTTCTTCTTCTTCTACTACTACTATTTCTTCCTCTTCTTTTCTATTATGGCGGATCCCAAGCAAAGGTGCATACCGCCACCTACTGTACATGAGTGTGTAGCAACATTACTTTATATCAAATTCTATCTTTTTATTTTGTATTCTGTAGATAAATAAATAATGCTTTCCTTAATCTGTGAATATCTTTTATATTTCCTTCATTTCCCAATGTTCCTTTAAGATTCCTTTCTTAGCCTGTCCTTCCAACCATTCTTCTCATTTTCTCTCCTTCATGTTCATTAGTTTTACCGTTCATCAGTACAAGTTTCACATTTTCTTTTTCTCTGCATCCTTCACATTTATCATTATTTGTCCTCCTTACTAAATCTAAATTCTCATTTCAATAGGTATGACCCACTCTTAATCTGATGATTATTACTTCTTCCCTTCTGTTTCTCTCATTAATGATTCTATTTAATACTGATTTTTGTACCTTATATAATCCTTTTCCTTTATCTTTGTTCAACCTCTTTTGCCATTTTTCCATTTCTTTACTCTTAATAAGTGATTTACTTTTCCCAAAAAAAAAAAAAAAAAAAAAAAAAAAAAA